TTCTTGCATCAAAACGTTCGGCTCATTCTGGGCATCGGTGATGTGACTTTTGGTTTTTGTAACTTTTGATCTTTTAAAAAAATATTTAACTTGATTGACAAACACTTCCCCACAGATTCTGGAGTTTCTTTAAAAGCTTTATTTTTCTTTAAATTCTGCTTCAGCTGCTCGCTCTGTCTTCTTAAACTACTCTTAGCTTTTAGCTATCATTCTGTTAATTTTAGCTTTCAACCAGCCTTTAGCTACTTTTAGCTTATTTTGCTACATGTAGCATTTAGCTACTGTTTTGTTACTTTTAATCAGCTTTTTGCCACTTTTAGCTACTTGTTTGCTTCATTTAGCTTTTACCTACCATTTGGCTTATTTTGGCTTGTAGCTAATCTTTTGCTAGTTTCAGCCTTAGCAAGCCTTTTGATACTTTTAGCTTGTGTGTTGCTCTGTTTAGCTTCATTAACTGAGAGTTTCAGTTCCTTCAGGAGGTTTCAGCTGTCCTTCAGCTCTCAAAATTTTTTATTTAGTTTTTTTTTTGTCTCAAAAGTTATCACAAACAGTTTTGTGTTCATTTACTAAACCTCCAGTTCTACAGCTTTAAGGAAGCTAACTTGTTTCGGCTCATAGTTTCGGCTGGTTGAGGATTATTTTCATCGTAAATCCTGTTTGAAATCAGGCAGAAACAACGTGATTTCTGTAGTTTGGAGGGTAAATATTGTTGCTGGTGCGGGTCACAGAGGCCTCAGCCCGACTCATGAACAGCTCAGTGTCTGAAACCCGCCCAGAACCGTAGAACCGGGTTTATGGGTCCAGCTAATGAATGAAATGTGCTCGTACAGTGTGTTGTTGTGAGCAGTTGTAAAGACGATCAGCCGAACTCTGTTAGTTTAAACAGACCCTGTGTGTGTGTGTGTGTGTGTGTGTGTGTGTGTGTGTGTGTGTGTGTGGATGGTGTTGTAACGCTCTCACACATTAACCGGCTTTATGGAGTGTTGATAAAGTTCTTTAACAGCCGCTACATTCAGGCCGCCACGCCCTCCGAGACCTGAGGACAGAGACAGTCTGTCTCCATGTCCTTTTCAAACCTGGAGTCCTCCTGAGTGGAGAGATGCTACCCGTCGATTTTTATCAGACAAACGTACAAAAGGGCAAACAAAAAGAAAGAGACGGCTCGGATAAGGAGAAGAAACGACCCAGATTCTGATGGGAGCCCGTTTGGACCTGAAGAGTTCTGCTATTGACTGAAATGTTTAAAAGTCCTTAGCATATTATTTGATATCAGTGAATATGGACTGTAGCCCGTCTGATTTCTGTAGAAGTTTATTTTTGTAGATGTGTGGTGGCAGCAGGGCCGGTGTTCAGAAAAACCCGGGCCCCGGGCTCCGGCAGCGAAACAGCCCCCTGCCTCACAGGCTTTTAAAATGTTTTAATTTCTTGGGTTTTCAAGGCCTTTTTTTTTTTGTCAGCCATTTTCTTAATGAGAATTTATTTATTTTTATTTAGCATAACTTCATTGATTTTTGTGTTTGTTTTTATCATTTTATCTTCTTTGTCCTTATTTTTATATTAGTTGGTCACCAACTTTTCTCTTTGTAATATTTTTAAAAATTATTGTTTGTTTCCAACATTTTTTTTGTCATAATTTGGTAGTTTTTAGTGTGCTTTTTATCTTTTATTTGTTTTACTGCTTTTTTTGCAAACTTTATTGCGACACAAACAGGAATGCGCCCATAAAACACTCGTCTAAATAAGCGTCTCAACCACAGTTTGTGCTGTTGGAATTGATCCATTTTAAGATGGCCGCCACAGCTAAAGGGTCTTAACTATAATTCAACTTGTTTAAATATATAGAGCTAAAACTTGGTGTGGTAGCAGCTCAGAGTCATCCCCAATGAAATGAGTGATGGGGACACAATAACACCAAGAATTATTAAAATTTACTTACTTCAGTTTTTTCTCACTAATTTTAAATCATGTTTTTAATTCTGCTTCTCTTCCAACATTTCACAATGTTGATGTGTGTGTGTGTGTGTGTGTGTGTGTGGGTGGGGGGTGGGGGGGTCAGACCAACATAAACCTGGAAAACCTAGAGGTTGTTCCTCTCAGATTGGTTATTCTCCTCTGGTGTCTGTTGAACTTGAATGAACTGAGGGAACGTCCATACAAGTAGATTAGTTTCGTAATTAATTCTATGTTTTGGCTGATAATGGTGCTTCCTCTGACCCCTCTGACATGTGGTATGCCTCAGGGATATATTTTACACCTGTTTTAGTTTTTTATAAGTGTTCCTCTTGGGTATGTTGGATTGAAGACTCATCTGAGTGGTTTTTATCATTCGCTATGCTGATGATACTCAGATTTACCTTTAATCCTGATGCTTGTTCAAATGTTCCTGTTCTTTACAGCAGTTTTGGTGAGGAGTGGTTATTATTTAGTTTTCTTAAAGAAAACTCTAAAATAGTGTTTTAAAATTAACGGTTCTGGTCGTGTCTCTCTGGGCTGCCACTGTTGAGGACAAACTGAGAACTGAGTTCTCAGGGGTGTTTCCAAAATGTGTCTAAATATTCACAAGGAGTCAAGTCTGATATGGAGGACGGAAGGTGACAAAATAAATTAAATACACAATAATGAAATGCATCATTTAAATATTAAATACATCATTAAATCATTAAATAAACAATAAAATTATTAAATACACAATTAAATTATTTATTTCATGATTTATTCAATTGTTTAATTTTGTCACATTCCATCCTCGTGTGTCGCCATGAAATTATGTTATCTGTCAGTCTCGCTCATTAAACTCAGTGGGCGGGACTAATGCTGAGCATGTGAAATCTATTGCTTCGGTCTGATGAAAAAAGGTTTCATCCAAATACACGTAAACACAATTACCGCTTCCTAAAGTTTTTTCGGAAAACATTTTCTGGCCTATCGATTATCTGTGGTCGATTTGTCTTGGCTTGCTGTGAGGAGCAGCCAATCAGGCGTCAGGGTTGGAGTTAGTCCCGCCCACTGAGTTTGACAAGTGAGGCTGACAGTTGACATGATTTCATGGTGTCATTGGAGGGTGGAAGGTGGCAAAATTAAATAACTAAATCATAAAATAAATAATTTAAAATGTACCTTTCATTATTTTATTGTATATTTAATAATTTAATTATGTATTTAATAATTAAATGATACATTTAATTGTTATGTATGTATTATGTATTTATTTATTTATTTCATCTGTTCACAATCCGTCCTCCATGATCTCAGGGTCTCACTCTTCTGCTGCAGGAATTTGACCATTTTCAAAAACTCTTTTGTTTCAAACCCATCCCAGAGTCGTTGCGGGCATCTCAAATCCGTCTCAATTTAGTTTCAGAGAGTCAGAAAATCAAAGAAATGTGCTTCAGATGAAACCAAACTGTGACTGACATAAAACACAAAGGAGAGAAATGCAAAGAAAACGAAGCGGATCAGGATTCTGTGACTCAACTGACAAAAATTGTTTGTACTTGTTTTGCAAGCTGTTGGAGAAGTGCATGACCACTTGTCACCGTTGTTGGTGGTTACAACAGTTTGTTGTCCTGAAAACATGCTTGTGATGTGAACATGTAGATTTTTAACAGTGTATGTCTCTATATTTGGCAACATTTACTGACTTTAAGAAAGAATAATGAGATTAGACCTGTCGCGATAAACAATAAATCAATTAATCGCATGATAAATGAAAATTATCAATCTCGTTTTCATTTAACAGCTCTATCGATTCTTCATGTCTCTCACTTTCTACTGAAGACACTGGACGACAAAAGACTCAACTCCGGTGCTCTTCACTGATCCCTTCCTTTCTCTTTAAAATATTTTTTAATCTTCCAAAATCATGTTTTTGGATCGTTAAAAGCAGCTTAACTGAGAAGCTAAGCTACGAGCTAAGCTAACAGGCCGACATCGGGGAAAAAATCTCCGTCTTGTTGAAGCTCCAAAATTCACGGTTGAAACTCGTGCCTTCGTGTAAAAAGTTGTTTTTCTCTGCAAAAAGAAGCTGAGAACTCGTTTACTGATTTTTTTATTAAAAGCTTTGTGTGAAAAATGCTAAAGAGCTCAAACCACACCGAGCGTCCGCCATTTTGTGAACCGAAGAGAGACAGCCCATGTCACGTCAAGGGGCCTCCCTCCCATTTCTCTTAAAGAGACGCTGCTTGCTCACTGTCCATCCTTCTTATACTGCCATCCAGTGGTCAAAAAAGGTACTACACGCAGAACAAATCAACATTGCTTCTTAAATTTGACAATAATTACTAATTATTGTCAAATGTCAAACAATATTATCGTTTATCGCAATAATTTCTGAGACAATTAATCGCCCAGCAAAATGTGTTATCCTGACCTACTTGAGATGATTGTTTTTGTTGGTGGAAGCTTCAAACTCAGTAAGATGCAGGCTCGAGCTTCTTATTTCTCCAGCTGTAGCTCGTCTTCAAATGAGTCAAACTTTAGGATTCTTACACAATCAGCAGATTTGTTTTTTAAAACCATGTTTTTTAACTCTGGAAATGAGATGAAGGACAGAAAGCTGGTGAGCAGGGAGGAAAGGAAGCCTGCCGTCCTCCTCGGTTCCTGTTGTCCTTCCTGGTTCGGTGTTTTCTCTGTTTCCAGTAAGGTCCACTCCCGTCTCGGTCCTCAGGTGTGTTGACTCGGTTTTCTCGGCAGCTCTTTGAAGGAGCCCTCGTGTGTTTTTCTCCTCCAGACTCTGGGCCGGGGCCAACACGGGGTCCTCACAAAGACAGAAACGTAGCCGAGGTTCTGGTCGTGGGATGAAATGTTTTTTCACGTGAACTTGGCTGAAAGGCCTCAGTGTTTGAACATAACCGTCTTTGTTTGGCTCTTTAATAATTCATGAGTCATTAACTCTGTTTTTCCTGCAGATTGAGGTTTTTAAGCTCGGATGTAGTTTCACGGTGCGGATGGATTTTAAAACCTGTAAAAGTGGATTAATGATGTGTTTCTTGTGTCTGCAGAGACCTCAGTATGAACAATCTGACCCACATATCCAGCGGGGTTTGGTCCAAGCTGCACTTCCTGGAGGAGCTGTGAGTCACAAACAGAACACGACCGGATCATTCCATCTTTAATTCACGTCGTTAAACGAGAAGTTTGATGATTTAAATCAGGAGAAAACGAACCTTCAAGTCATCGAGCGGCTTTAAATTTAATGTTTGGTTTCACGTTTCACTTTATTCATGGTCCTTTTTAATATTTGAGATGTTTTCAACTTCAGTTTAGGCCCTCATTTAGTTAGTTTTTCTCATTTTTGTCGTGTTTTGGGCCTTCTTAGTTAATTTTTTTCCTTCTTTTGTTTTATTTATTTATTTATTTCCATTTTCGGCATTTAAAATGATCTAAAAGGACTTTCGGTTTCTTTTGGGTCAATTTGTTTCATTTTAAGTGTTTTTTTTAATATATAATTAGTTGCTCTAAGGCAGTTTTTGTGTTTGAATATCCAGTTTTCTTGTTCCTGATTATTTGGGACTGCCTAGTATAAGGCAGCCCCTCTTATTATCCACCTGACCAGGGTTTCTTAACTTTATATCTTCTCTTCCACCAACTTTAACGCAGCCCGAACCACAACATGTACTCCCACAAATGTTATATAGAAACGACCGCCTCGACACGTGATGTGTGCTGTTACTTACAATGGTGTTTCGAGTTGCCGTGGCGACGTAATTTGCAAAGAAAGACGCCGTTTTTATTAGTCATTTTTCATAGACTCTAGTTGCAAATCAAATATCCAAAATGGCCACCTAAATTAAAATACTGTAAATCAGCCATTTTCAGAGATATTAAGCTGGAATTTGGTGTGGTAGTAGCTGAGACCAATATCCAATAAATAATTAATAAATAAAAAAATCCAAGATGGCTGCCAAAGCTAAATTTAAATGGCTTCAAAGCAGCTATTTTTACAGATATAGAGCTGAAATTTGGTGAGCTTATAGCTGAGGATGTTCCTCATCACATACTGAATCCAAATTAAAAATCCAAGATGGCCACCAAAACAACTTGAACTGGTTGATTTTTACCACTTTTAGCTGAAAGTTGATTTGATAGTAGCTGAGCGTGAACCCCAGCACATATTGTCCAATCAAAAATTTAAAATGCCGTCACGTGGCAGTCCCCGTCAAAATGTCTCCAGGAACTTTCTAGTAAATTGTTTTAATTGTTCTGTAAGTTCAGTTTTTATGTCTGAGCTTTCATTTTCATCATTGATCATGTTCATTATTTTTATTTGTTATTATTATTATTGTTGTCATTATTATTATTTTACATCTTTTGGATCAAACTGTTTCATTTTTAAAAATTTTTTACAGTGAATTTTTGGCTCTATTTATTTTTATTTTTTGTCTTTCTGTTTGTAGTTATTGTCTCTTTTTCCTGAAATGGTTTAAATCTAAAGTTTCTGATTTGTTTTGGTCGCAGTTCATCACAAGCTCGTATTTTTTGTTGTTTCCTTTTTTTAAACCAAATTAATTTCCTGAGATCTCGTTTTGTCTGGAGTTGGTTGTTTTAAAGATTTGAAATGATTTCCATCTCTGTGAGTTAATTTGTATTAACTCTGGAGTTCTGAGTTATTTATTCATTTTATTTCAGAACGTTTTGCATCATGTCTAAAAATCCTGTTTTAAGTTTTGTTTTGTTTTTCGGAGCTTCATCTTTTTTCCTCAGGATTTATTTCTTCTCTGCTCGTTTCAGATTTCTGTCGTTTTCTCTCAGTTTCAGGATATTTTGTGTCTTTTTTCCTTTTCAGCTCAGTTCTTTGGCTGTGAAGAGCTGATGTTGAGCTGTTTAGAACCTGTGGCTCCAGATGTTTTTATTGGAGTCCTGTCCTCGTCATCTCTCGGACCTCAGACCTGCTCAGGTCTGGACTCTGCAGGGCCCATACGGATCACACGAAGCTTTGTGGATGAACTTCTCCCCAGAAAGCGGCTGACCTCAGCGGGACCCGAACACGACTCTGCCTGCTGTTCTGCTCGGCTGCCAGCTGTGTGTGTGATATTTGTCACGGCGGCGTGAGAAACGTCACGGCGGCGATAGGACACCGCAGGAACGCCGAGCGGCTGAACTCTGGGTGGCCTCGGAGACACCAACAGAGTTCAGAGCCTCACTGAGAGGTCCTCCCAAACATAGCAAACAACGATTTCAAACACCTGAGCTCAGAACTTTTACAGCTAACGAACAAACGGTGAACGAAAGGTCGCCTGAAGCAGCACGACCTGCAAATATTGATACTAGCAAAGGTCCAGAACTCCGTCTGTTTTACAGATAGTAAGTCATGTTTGGGGTGGTAGTAGCTGAGCATCATCCTCAATATGAACTCTGAGCTCTAATGGATCACCAGAGCTCTAATGGATCACCAGAGCTCTAATGGATCACCTGAGTTCTAATTGATCACCTGAGCTCTAATGGATCGCCCAAATTGTAATGTATTGCCTGAGCTTTAATGGATCACCAGCAATCTAATGGATCACCTGAACTCTAATGGATCACCAGCACTCTAATTGATCACCTGAGCTCTAATGGATCACATGATCTCTAATTGATCACCAGCACTCTAATGGATCACCAGCACTCTAATGCATCATTTGAGCTCTAATGGTTTGCCAGCACTGTAATGGATCACCTGAGCTCTAATGGATCACCTGATCTATATTGGATCACCAGCACTCTAATGGATCCCCTGAGCTCTAATGGATCACCAGCACTCTAATGGATCCCCTTAGCTCTAATAGATCACCAG